GCTAGAAATGCAATCTGCGGGTGGTAGACCCCATTTGGTGAGTTAGGCCACTGATTAATCCTATTGGATTATAGGGGTTGATCCCGATGACGTCACCTTTATTACGTAAGGATTTCTCGGGAAGAAAAAAGAGTGCGGAGAAAATACAGTAACCCGAAATTGTATGCACTCTGGAAAATCCCGCATTTCCGAGAAAAAGTTCAATTTACCAGAAAATTCTTACGCGATACAGAAAGCACTGAACATTCCATTGCCGCCAGCATGCAGGGTGTCTAGTAAAACAGGCTGGCCAAAAATCAGTACTTTTACAGTACTTTTCCAGTCCATTCCCAAGAAATTCAGTACCTCCTTATTTGAGAAATTCGAGAATTTTCAAAAATTTGAATTTCTCGCTCGAATTGCGACAAATATGACAAAAATTCCGGACTTTCCGGAAATTCTGGAATTGTAGACACCCTGCGACGTGTGACATCTTTGCTTCAGTCCAGAAGAAGAAAAAAATCTATTATGCTATTCAATCTATGACACAAGAGACGTCATAATTGGTTGGTTCGATGCTAGGAGTTATTGCGATTACGATCGTGTCCCGACTGAAACAAGAGTTTGACCATTATCAACTTGAACGCCTTACGTGACTGTGAGTGTCTGCATGCGAGACAATACAGCCTACAAGGAGTCAAAATCAAAAGAATTACGACTTGAGGTGGGTCATATACAATCCGAAACGTAAACCACTTTAAAGTGTGTCATTGTCGTGTCATTATCACGTTTAAAAGCGGCCCCTAAATCCCCGAACACAAATAGAATGAGTTACGTCCTTGCCGGTCGCTTGTACTTTCCAACCGAGCGCAATCCTCCATCACCTTAAATCTCTTGAGCCGCGGGTCCCGGGTGGCGGACAGGGTGTAATGGCGGAGGGGGAGCAAAGGGGGTAATTATTTTAGGACTCCCAAAATCGTTCAACGACGCGCTCCGGCCGGCCCCACCGCAGGTTTTCGCCGTAATTGTCGCCCAGACTCAACGTCTGTCTTTCATCAAACCGAGCTCTAAGCTCTGGATTACCGGCAACGATGTCACGTTGCTCGAATGGTCGGAAAATCATGTTTGCGTGTCAATATACAGTAAATCTGACCAGGATGTCTGCCAAAACAGGGTAACCAAAAATCAGTACTTTACAGCACTTGTTTAGTACATTCCCAAGATATTCAGTACCTCGTCAATTGAAAAATTCGGTACTTCCAATTATTGACGAAATTTAAAAAAAATTTAATTCCGCTCAAATTGAGACAAAAATGACAAAAAAATTAGAAAAATTCCGGACCTTTTTGCGAAATTTCCGCACTTTTTCAGTACTTCCGGACCGCCCCTAAAAAATCAGTACTATTTCCGGACTTGTAGACACCCTGCTGACGAGTGTAATTGAGGAAACCTATGATTGCCAAGTGTTGGAAAACATCCCCGCCAGAGGGCCGATTATTAAAAAGGATAGACAAAGCTATAGACAAAGAAGACAAAGAAGATATGGAAGGATCCTATTGGTGGAAGCAGGTGATTGACCTCTTGATGTATATACAAAATATGTCAAAATTAAAAAAAGATGCCAGTAAGCTACGCTAAAATTTCAAACAAATAAGTTCTTAAAACAAAACAAGAGCGTTTAAATCCTTAAATTTAGACCGTTTTCAGTGTTTTGACCAGAGTATAATTGAGGAGCTTGGAGGACAATGTGCATAAGTGCAGTTTTTTAAAAAAAATTGAAATTTTAATAATTTCGAGTAAAACGAGTCTTGATGCATATTCTGCGAAAAATTCGCTCCCAAATTCCAATTTTTAAGCATCAAACAGTCCGTTTGAACTTTCTTTCCGCCACAAACATCCACGCAATTTCGAAACTTCAAGCACGCATTTCTCGAAATAGCAAAAACTGCACTTATGAGCCTTGTCCTCCAAGCCCCTCAATTCGCAATAATACTTATATTAGTTCAACTGATAAATTTGAAATTCTATGTGAAATGAATTACTCGTTTTTTAAATTACTTTGTTTTCTTTTTATACACCATTGTTTACCCTCAGGTTCATAAAGAATCCGATGGCATCGAAGATCGAAGAATAATACATTCTAAAGCGCACAAGACTGCTGCATCGAGGAAATAAGTTTCGTTTCCGATTTGGCAAGCGGAGCCGAAACTCGGTGTGAAAGGAGTGAGTTACGATTGGGTTAACCTCCGAGGACATTATTTCGGCCCGACGTCAGACCGGACGTCCGAGAGCGTCTACCGCGTGTTGCCCCTCTGTAAGTCTGTAAGGAAAATACGATCGGCGGTGCTTGATTTGTTTATTAGACCACTCGCAACTTAGTTGCACGGATGTGATACCAAAGCGAGGGGCGGTAACTGATCCGATTTAAATTTATTCAATGCGAGCGATCTAAAAACGTCTCTACTCGTCACTTGAAGTCGACGTTCGCTGCAGCGGGCTGATTATTGAAATTGATAGACAAAGCTATAGACAAAGAAGACGAAAGAGACAGGGAGAGATTTTATTGGTGGAAGCGGGTGGTTGCATTGGACAAATGAGGCAGGTATTAGACTAACTAACGGCAACTCACGAGAGACCCGATAGTTAGTCCATCGTTTTCTCCCTTAGTCGGTAGGAACCACCCATTTCAACCAATAGGATCGCTCCATACTTCCTATGTCGTCTTTGTCTATAGCTTTGTCTATCAATTTCAATAATCAGCCCACAGGTACGGGTAAAGCTGCTTCGATGAACGCATAACGAAGCTTTGCCGTCTCTTTCGGTATTATGACAAAATAACGCTTTTATCGTTTCTACAAAAAAAGGAACGTAACCTTATTCCAAGGTTGCAAAATTGACTCGAATAGTATAATTTGTTACAAAAATAGATCGGTGCTGGTTTAGGTAAAAAAAATCTAGATTTTTGCATGAGATCAGAAAAATAATGGATTAAATTTTTAGTTAGAAAAGCCCAAGATTTTCATGGTAAAAGTACAATTTGCGAGGGTGATTTTGGTAACACTGAAATGAAGTTAAGGTCTTTTGTGAGGGAAATGATGAATTGTGGGACAACCGACACATCGACTAAAAACTGAGTCGTTATGAGGCCGGTTTAGCTGGAGTGCCGAGGTGCCGCAGCACGCCGGGCCTCCTTAGCGATTTTTTAAAAATTTCAGATCCTTTGGGTGTCTTTTGAGTCTAAAATACAGATTTAGAGAGGTCCTAAACCATGAAAAACGAAGTTTTTCCATCTTTCTTAAATACCCTCTTCTGACTTCGCTTTTTTTCAGAGAAAATGTCGAGGGTCCCTTTACACATGCCGAAAAGCGTAATAAAAGTAATTATTTATTATCACGAACAACCAAGAGCCAGGTAAAACAAGAGAGCAACGAATAAAAACGAAATAAACGAGCTTACAATCAAATTAAAACAAACAGCGAAAAAAACTTGTCGTGAGCGACTGAAAATGGGTATCAGGACACAGTTGTCAGTTTTTGCTCCGAAAATCAAAGTCTTTATCCTCTACCATTCCTCTAGAGTACTTTAAAAAACAGTTATTTTAACCATCCCGACGTCTACAGAGCCTTAATCACTCTCCAAAAGTCATGAATACAGTGGCGAGGCGAGAATGATCGACTATCGATAATTTTCCATTTGAAGCTATGGTAAAGAATCGATTGTAAAGGTGTCCGTTGTGGACACCCTTTTTATCGATCATTTTCCATAGTTTTAAATGGACGTATTTCTACCAAACAGACCTATTTGAAGGTGAGAAATATGGGGTGTGCTCGTTAGTTCTCTGGCCGTAAGAGTGAATGAGAATAATAAAGCGCCAGTGACGTCAGCGGCAATGAAGAAGCGAGGGAGCCTCGGGGGATCGTCCTCGGGGCGCTTTAACTCATGAGCCCTGTCTACAATGCTCTCTTGCCATGCCCGGGGCTCATGAGTTCCGCATTCAGTTGACACATAGGTCTGTTTGATAGAATGTAAAATCCCGCTTCTCCAATTCTTCAAAAGGAATCACGCCCACTTTTACATTGCTTCTTATGCAGCTTCGACGAGCACACCCCATATTTCTCACCTCCACATAGGTCTGTTTGGTAGAAATACGTCCAAATGACAGATCAATCAATATATAGCGCAAAGCACGCCACGCCGCGCCACTGCATGGATCCACCTTTCAGTTCACCAATTTGAATAAAAGTGTCTAACGATTATGAAGTTAAGGCATAGATTTCTCCGATAAAATATCGATCACCTTTAGTTTTGATGATTACTGCACTAAAGCTTGTGTACTCTATACAAAAAGAAAGGAGGAAAAGATGGAAACACCGCGGACTCTGATGTGAAATCGTGCAACCGTGCTGAAGATGCGATGCAGCCGATGTTCAGTTAAAATTTGCCTTGTTCGCAACATTTTTTGCGGAAATATTCGAAGGATTCGCCGCAAATTAGCAGCCCTGGTCGGACGGCCGCGGATCAGAGGAATGCCGACACCGACACTTTTTCAAAGAAAATCCGAGTCGCCAAGTCACCACTCACCAACTTGGTTCACCGTCAGTCATCGTCACCGCGAACCCCCGATGTCTGATTACTTGGAAGCCAATTTTCTTTCGCCGCCCTTCCCCTCCCCCTCCCTTTGCGCTGACTTGCCGGCTACAAATTGCCGCGATACTATCGCTCACTTGTATCTAGCCCACGGTTGCCTTACGTTGGATTATGGCCGATATCCGT